ATATTATAATGTATAATTACATACAGTGTTGTTTTGTTCAGGTTAGATTTACAGCAGCGATGATGTGTCAGGTTGATCTTCAACCCCTGGAAAAGTGGTGAATATTGGGAGAACCAAAATGGAACACTTTTCATACTCATGGTTTGTTTATTATGAGTCTCGCATGTACTGTTTATTTATTAATTTATGTATTTTTTCAGTGATGCTTGGTTAATTGTACAGAAAGGCTACACCGATCAACATGAAATTTGGCAGGAATGTGTCTGACCTACACTGCACCAGCCAAAGGTTTAATTATAGACCCCATATTACCCCATATTTGAGGAGGGGGCTCCATCTCAAAAGTGGTTATCTGGACATAAAAAATGCTTATGACTCAAAAACTATTCAACATAGGAGCTTCAGATTTTTATTTTATTTATTTTTTTGTCGTTTAGCTCTGATAAAGGACTATCCATCAGTCTCACCAATGATCCCCCCACACTGCCCTAGAATCCCACCCAAAACAATAAATCTGTTTTGGTGAGTTCTGACATCTGGAGCATTGGTGTTTGAGTACAGACCACTATGCAGTATCTAGTTAAGGTTAAAAAATATTTTTAAAAACACAGCTCACCTCAACTATGTTTCTTTCATAGTAAACATACAGAGTGATACTCACAGATACTGTATTTTCAACATGACTCACACTCCACTAGTGCTGTCAGTGATCAATTCAGGGTTTACAGTATCAGTGATAAACCCTGTGATTCGTTTCCCATCCAAGTCATCTCAACTTTGGCACTCTTCTCCTCCTGCATACTTTCTCCTAGAGCTGCCATTGTAATTTATATCTGTAAAGCTCCTGTGCCAAATGATGGCTATGCATTTTGGTGCCTGTACAACTTATAATTTTTGAAATATTAATGTTTAAAATCATATAATGCCAGTCAATAGAGCCTTGTATTGGTCCAATACTGCCCCTTGCTGTATATACTCAGTACTGAACCATAGTTCTAATAATATTTAAACTCAGTAGTTCAGTGATTACAATTCTAATATGATTGTGTTTTGATGTTTTACTAAAATATTGTCCTAATATTACTCTATTGTTGTAATATTAYGCATTTCTGTGTCAACAATTGCATTTGCAATGTGGCCTCTTTCTGCACACATACAAACCAACCCCTGCCACCACCTTCTGCCACAGCTCCATTGGTCTAATGGTCTATGTCATGGGCTTTCATGTGGGAGATCAGGGTTCAAACCCAGCTACTGCAACTTTAACAACAAATCTCTTCCAACTTCATATTGTCACTCAATTACCTTAATTACAAACACCTGCTGACGTGACAGGCACATGCTGGTATAGAAAACATATTTGAATTTGGTCAAAGTTCATTCTTCAAGTCCAATGCTGCAGGCAATGCACACTTGTTTTTACATCGTTAAAAACCCATGTCTAGTTTACTTTGCTTCCTGTTTTTGGGGTCTTTTCATGGCAGTAAACGACTAAGTACAGGACTGATAAACTTCCTGCATCTTTTCAGACATTTTCTGTGTTTCTGTGAAGAAAATACAACATTTCCATAATAAGTGCTCTTTTTATGAGAATATTTTAGAAACTGCAAAGAACAGCTTTTCCATGTAACAAGATTTTAGTTTAAATCTCTGGCTTTAAAGGCCAAAAGGAGTTCTCTAAGAAATGAAAGGCCTTTAATTTTACATCAACTATGAAGTTTAGAAGTTTGTTTATTTATTTCAATCATGAATTGAAATATGAGTACAAAACAGCAAATCGTTCAATACTAAAAAAATCCAATAATATAAAGAAGGTCTAATAAAACAATAGAAATAACTGAGAAAAAACAAGCCRTCCAAGTAAAAAAATTAAAATAATAAAAAAAGAAATGAAAAACAAWATAAACGATGCATACCAGAGTTGTAATGTAACTAAGTACAAATACTTTGTCACTGTACTTAAGTGGAATTTTTGGTTATCTGTACTTTACTTGAGTAATTATTTTTTGCATAATTTTTACTTTTACTCATTACATTTTACACAATTATCTGTTCTTTCTAC